GGAAAGAGCCCGTCTAGTGGCAGACTTTGAAAATATCCCTTATGTTGGGCATGGTTGTATGAGATAAATGTCTTTGAGCCGGCATGGTTTTGTTTGGCTAGCGGTAATTGGTACCTGGTATTGGCATGAAAAAAATTACAGCAACTATCACACACACAGAGAAAAATGAGCAAGTGAAAAAGCTTAAATGACAGTCTTGGCTTGGAGGACATTTCCTTGTTGAATGTATTCCATTTGGGTTAATTACCAGGTCAAATATTTACTGCAAAGTTGATTGCTGTGATTGTGCCGTCTCTTCTGCCTCGTAGTGCAGGGACATGCTGTGGAGATGACTTTCTTGGAGATTACTTTCTCTCTGTTCCTGTAAGAGGCCCACCTCTTCCTCCTCTTCCCACGTCTTGGTGTATTTAGTGCAGAGAGATGCTTTAGGAGAAGGTGGGTCACCCCTCCTAGTCTATAAATGGAGTTCAGGGTGAGTGGGTTGGTGTGATCAGGCTGTCTTTTTTGGAGATGAATTTATGGCAGAAGCGTTTCATCCTGGACAGGATGGTTGAAAAGGAAAAGGCTGTTTTCAAAAGGTGGTGACGTATTTGCAGGAGGTTGCCCAATGCAGGAATAGGGTCGCCCATGTCTTCATATTGCTCTTTTTACAACACACCCAGGACATGCTTGTTTTTTGGAGAGGGCACCCTCTGAGTTGCCCACCTGTCCCCATGGCTGATGGGGGACCCCTGGGCCATGCACTTAGTTTGGATGGCTTTGCTTCTTTGTGCTCTCTTCTTCATCTCCTTGACCATGGTAGGCTTTGGCTTGGAGTGCTTGTACTGTTCAGCCAAAACATCAAAACCAAAACATTTCATAGAAGAAATTACTGGGACGGTATTATTTAAATTATTAATATTTTTTTACTAAAATAACTGAATGGAAACATTTCTCAATTATCAAGGATTTTTCTGGTTATTTTTAACTGACAAAAAAATCAAATTCCCAACTTAAAACAACTGTTTGTTTAAGATTATTGCTCTTAGAAAGAAGAGCAAAAAAATAGTCGCAACAGTCCTCAAGATTAAAAAAAAAAAAAAATGAGAAGGAAGAATAGCAGTCACTTACCAGGAAATGTTCCTGAGCTTGTAATACAAGCTTTAATTAATAGTTTGAAAACCATTTGAGATGATCCTTTTCCTTTTGCTACCGTGACAAAATCTTAAGAGCCCGCCCATTCAGCTGTCGCCATAGAGAATAATAAAAAAATGCAGCTTTCATTTTCCTCTTTGGCTTTCTAAAATTATAGCTAAGAATATTTGGGTGTTGGCTCAAACCTGAGGAGGAAAGGAGCTGCCCTTGTTTTGGAGGAGGTGGTATCATCCTCCTTTCTTCTCTCCATTATTCAGTCCACTACAAGACAATTATTCTCCCACTGAAATTAGGCAGTCGCCTACTGCTTCCTCGGTTGGGATGGGAGAAGTCACCCTTGATGACATCAGGAAGCTATTTTAGTCTCCTGCCCGCAGTTCACCCCTGAAGCAAGAGAATGAGGCGCTGCAACCGACAGCCCAGGCTTGTGTCTTCACATATGGGGACACTTTGGTGTCCTGACTTAATGGTCAGGAGGGGAAAGCACCCTGGGGCTTGCTGGGCTTTCACCCGTCCGAGGCTGGGAATATCACACAAAACCAGTTCCTGTTTTGCCAGGCCACGGAGGGGAAGCAAGCAAGGGCAAGACCAACTGGTTGAGTCAATCGGCAGCAGCTGGTGAGGACTAAGCCCGGGTCCCAAAGCTGCGGCTTCCTCCACCTCCTCTTTCTAAAGCAATTGTCTTTTTTAGCAACAGCACAACCCAAAAGTGGCCTCTGAAACGATGCCTAGCTGAATTGTTCTGGCTAGATTGCAAAGGGATGGCCATGCCTCCGAACAGCCACAAGGAAGACCCAAACTTGGAGCCATGGTGGTTCCTGGACAGCCGTCCTGCGCATGCTGCATGGCTGTGGCCCAGAGTGACGTCCTGAAACCACACAGGGATCGGTGACGTTCGGGCAATTAACTGGAGCTGCCTAATGGCTCAGCAGGGACTCCAGGCGTTGGGTTTGCCTTCTTTCCAAATGACGTTTGCAAGTGGTGAATGACCTAGATGGGCTCCATCTCATCTAATTTTAGCCCCTTAAAAATTAGATAAACTTTTTGAGAGAGGGGCTCAGGTGGAGGACTGTCCACCTCGCCTAACCAGCGTCTGATGTGCAGTCTGGTCAAAGCTGGACGAGACAGCTTCTACACTTAGCATAGAAATAACATCTCATCCTTTCCCCAAAGGTGCTTATCTTCTTCCTTGCGTCAGTCTTTAATATTCACATTTTTTTAGGTTGCAATTAGAATTCTGCCCTGTGAGAGCAGGGAGATAAGTGGTGCCGTGTGACCTGTAATTCTTCATGAGCTGGAGACAGGGAGGAATTCCCTGTGACAATAGCGTCTGCAAATCCGGCAGATGACAGGCAGGGTGTATTTGTCTGAGTACATGCAGGCGTCTTGCGTGGCGGTGTCTCCATTTGTACCAATGCCCCTGCCCCAAGCTGCCTGCGGAGCCAGGAGAGATCTAATGGATGCAGTCAGTAGAGTCTATCTAGAGCCTGATGCGTTTCATGCGAAATTAGACGCCTGTGTTTGGTCAGATGAATCACACCATGGAAATGATGGTTACTTTCCATGAAATGAGCCCCCAGCAACCAGCTCACATGTTGAGCTCTATGTGGGAGACTTCAAAACTAAGACAAAGTCAATCCCACCCTGTTATGGCCAAGAGATCTCATCACCTATCCCTTTGCCTTTTCCGTCATACAGGGTAAATGTCACATTTTGTCAGCCCTGATGCCACTGAAGCGGAGGTTTTTATGTCTGAAATAGATATGATCCTGGCAGAGCACAGCCCTGATCACAAGCCCATGGAGCCCAGAAGGTCAACGTTGGCATCTATCGTCATTCAACTGCTGTGACATGGAAGAATCAACCAAACACGCTGTTCTGAGGGTGCAGCGATAAATGAAGCTACGGGCTGGCAAACTCATAGAGGACATCTTACAGTGCTAAGAACTCTTTGGGGGTTTCTGGCAACCTTTGACATCAGTTGTTGCTTGGGCTATAAAATATCTTATAGGTGATGTGATATAAGGAGGTAAATGGAACAGAATAAGCACCATTAGACTGTCCCGGCATCTGAGTCCCACCATGCTCCAAACTGCCTGAAGAGAATCAAAAGATCTGTTTGGTCCTTTCTTCTCTCCATAGACTGTGAAAAAGCACTTCTTCACCCATTTTGTGATTTCTTTAAACACCAGCTATGGAAAAATTCAGAGACAAACCAGGTACTTTCAATGCAGTTTATTGAAGGCGCAGTGAAAAGCTGGGAAGTTGGAGCAGTCAATGAAAGAACCTCTGTTGATGTGAGTACAAGGTGTCAGCTCAGAAGATTTATGCACCAGTAACTTCCCTTGGCATTTCGGGGGTGGGGATGGGGGGGGTGAGCTCTTCTAAAAATCAGCACACTTTGAACTAGCCACCCCTAACATGCAGAAGCAAATGAAAGTACTACGTGTTCATCTGTAAGCAAATTCCACAAAAAGCCTATGGCTGCAGCGTAACTAGCAGGTGCTTTGAAAGTTGAAATTGCCTTGTTTAGAATTTAAGCTCAAATTTGCAGCTCAGGGTTTCTTCTTTGACAAAACCAAAAAAAAAAAAAAAAAAAAAAAAGGGGCGGGGGGAGAGTGCTCTTTGCAGTGCCTCCTGGGAAAGTTAAATCATCACTCTCTTTTCTGAAATGCTTTGGGAGGAGCTGGAAGAAAAAGAGGTGTCTTGTGAGGAAGAACATTTTTGATGAATCATTATGGGAAAAGCCAGAGAGAGAAGGCAGAGCAACAGGCAAACCCTTAGAGCTGTGATAATCTAGACAGTATGAACTCAGAGAAATAACACTGTGTTGAGCACCTGCTGGAGAAGCTTGCTTGATGTGTCTTTAGGGTTGGGGACTGAAAACATAACTTGGTGGGGCACATATCTGATGCTAATAAATGTGGGAATGGGCTCGGTGACAAATGTCGTTACTCATGGGCAGAGAAACCATCCTGCATCGTCTCAGTGGTAGGAACAGCACGTCTAAGTGTTTCCCTGCCATGTTGCTGGCTCTGCCACCCCTGCGGCCGGTGGCCCTATGGAACAACGCACTGGTCTCTGACAACCCCAAAGTTCCCCACCACGCCGTTGTTGCACCCCACGACCTCGGGGCTGTTTGCAACAACAACGGGAGAGCCCCCCAGCTGCCTGACGATGCAGCCTTGGTTCCCAAAGCTGACCACCCCACCAGCCTGGCAAGCCCCCATCCTAGCATTCAAGCCCCCATTTCCCGTGCTGATGACCGTGCGGGCTGGGTAACCCCCACTTCGGGAGCTGAATCCCCCATTTTTGCAGTTGACCCCTCCAGCTTGGCAAAACACTTCTGGGACGCACTGCTTGGCCACCGAGCTAAGCACTCTCTTGGGGTGGATCCCAGCGCTCCGGGAGCTGAATCCTCCGTTCTGGGAGCTGTGTCGTCCGGAACGTCTCCCCAGGGAGCCGTAGCCACACGCAGCCCCATTTGCAGCCAGGATTCCGCAGTCGTCGGGGATATTGTAGCCGCTGCTGACCACAGCTGCAAGACAGCCCACGGGATTAATTATTTAGAGAGGAAAACTGGAAGACTCTCACAAGGCAAGTTGTTTCATGAGTGACAGAACCAACCAAACCTGATTTCCTCCAGATTTGTCCAACATTTCTGAGCCCCTGCTCTTTCCAACTCCTCCCCCATGTCCCAGCGCATCCCCTCACAGATCCTCCCCACTCCCACGTTGCTTATCTGGCTGGTGGCAGATTCTTTCCCAGGTTCAGTGGACATCCGCGCATCGCCTGGCGGGATCGCCAGGACAGCCTGCTGTTGCCTCCAAAAGTAGAAAAGGGTCATGAATTTGACCTTCCCCCTTCCATCCAAAAGCTGGTGGGTTTTTTTGGGGTTTTTTGGGTGGTTTTTTTTGTTTTTTAATTCAGAGGTGTTTGAGATTTCTGGGACTAAACCCTCAACATCAGCCTGGGCTGAAATGGAAAAGGAAGGCAGAGGCAGAGGGAGCTGGGGCAGATCGATAATGCTATAAACGGCCTTTCCTAAAATGAGAAATTCTCATGGATTAAAATCTTCAGGTTATACTTACACACGCTCACCGGGTTCCCCACACATATCCTGTTAGGGGAGAGAAGAGAAACGCGCGTTATCCCACTAACCAGTTGCACATCTCGAAACCTGTCGTTACTCATAACTTCCAGCCATACATCCAGCCCACTTCATCCCCTGTTGTAACACGTCTGACTATCCCTAGGACAGGAACTGTTTTTTCTGGCACAAGGGTGGCCTGTATGGCCTCCAGCCATCTCTCCAGCCCCAGTTTCTGTGAGCCTGGGAGGATCCTGGAGCTGGAAAATTCACTTGGGAGCTGGAATTGTTCTGGCTTCTGATATACAGGAGAAAAGGGACAAGGTCTCTGTCACCCACCTGCTCTCTTCACCCTCCAGTAGGGTCTTATACGTTGCAATCTCAATGTCCAGGGCCAGTTTGACATTCAGCAGCTCCTGGTAATCCCGCAGCATGCAAGCCAGCTCATCCTTGGCCTTCTGAAGGGCATTCTGCAGCTCAACGTGCTTCTCCCGAGCATCTTTCAGAGCACAATCCCCACGTTGCTCAACATCACAAATGGAGGTTTGCAGGCAGGAGACCTGTCAGAGGGGAGGATAACAGTGCAGGTGTCTTCAAGGCTTCATTTCCTAATTCCTGGACATTCTGGTTTTGGATTAATCTGCTCTTCCAATTGCAAACAGAGAAAAAAAAACCCACCAGCATCCCTTTTCCCTATCCACTTTTCAACTCTACCCTTTCCAGCTACAGCACAGAGCAGGTCTTAAGTCTACTAAAGGTCAATGCATCATCTTCCCCTACATCTGAGCCGTCCAAGACATTGCCCTTTCTGGAAACATCACCTCTGGGCCTCTCCTACCTGCTTCTTCACGTTCTCCAGCTCACACTGCAGCTTCTGTATCATCCGGGTTAGCTCTGAAATCTCACACTTGTTGCTTTGCAGATCATCGCAGTACTTGCCTCTCTTATCCTGAAGCTCCTGAAACTGGAACCAAGAAACAAGCCAATGGTCATTTTTGACCTGCAGCTGGTTAAGCTGCCAGGCAGACACCGAGGTTGCCTCTTACTCACCCTGGTTTGGTAGAAAGCATCAACTTCTTCTTTGCTCTTCTGAGCTATTTCTTGGTACCAACATTCAACGTTCTTGATGATGCTTTCCATGTCTAGGTCTCGGTTGTTGTCCATTTTCACGATGACCGAAGTGTCGCATAGCTGGCGATCTACCTGAGCTCGTTCCTACAGGTTGGGGAATGACTTAGTCAGCTGTTAGCAATTCTCAGACTTTGTAGTGAAGGAAGGGCTGGGACAAAGAGCCACACAGCTCAGCTGGTGGATATAACAAGTCAAGAAACGTCCCTCAGGTTGGCTCAGCAGAAAATCCTCCCGGCTGGATGAGTTACCGCATGTCAGCTGCTGACCTACATGCTGACCTGCAGCAATTCTGTCCACATGAAGGGCGAGGAAATGGAGTGACTTAACCCTTGGTATCCTGTCATCTTCAGCTGCTTTACTGATGTTAATGACAGGATTAAGCTGGGAGTTTCTTTAGCTCTAATCAGACAACTGCAATCCGGAGTAACTAGACCGACACATCTCTTTTCCCAGGGGCAGAGTTAGGACACAGCCAATGCATACCCAAAGCTGTATTAAAAAAGGGGGAACCACCCTACTTCCAGCATAATTATGTTAATCTTATGTCAATGTTGTACTTGCATGCTTTCAAGTATTCGGGGCTTGGGGTGAGAGGTGTCCAAGAGGGGTTTCAAGCTGTAGAAATTTGGAGCATCTGAAGGATGAAACAGCAACACCAAGCTCCTGGGATGGACCAGAGGAACTCACCTCCTCAAACACACATTTCAACAACTCCAGCTGCCTTCTTAACAGATCCACCTTCACCTCCAGCTCTTCCTTGTTCAGAAAGATACAGTCTGCATCCTGGAAGAGAGGAGACACGTTCCAGCGCAATCTCGCTGAAAACATTGGAGAAACAAACAGAAGAAAGAGGCAGCGCCAATAAAACAGAAACGTGTTTCAACAAGATTTCAAGAGCAGAAAGGTGTGAGAGGGTGAGTCAAGATGCCCCAGTGTCTCCTAAAGGAAAACAAAACCATTCCAACGTGACTTACAGGAATTAGTTTATTTATTACTTGGGACCTAGCTGCAAACTCAGAATTGACTAATGAGTATTTAAACATAATTTTTTAATATTGTTCAAATGACTTCTGCTTTTCTGATGTCCAAGTGTAAAGGATATGAAGAGACTGTCAGAAAATAAGCAGCGTCTTAGACACCGGGTATTCCAGTGTGACAACTCTGTCCCCCTTCCACCCTCCCGTGACACTTCAAGAGTGTGCTTGGGGTAACGAAAGTATTGCTGTAGTGCTGATGATGTAAGCTTTGAGGATACATTATTTTTACTTTCCACTTGCATTTGCCTCTTTTTTCTGACCCTGTGCTGCTTTACAGGCCTCCCTCCTTCTGCTCATTATAACCCTTTTGCCGGGCATTTGCTAATAACGCACTACTTCAGCCAAGCTTTGCACCAAATAAACCTATTACAGGTACAATGATTTGGAGCTTCACCTTTTTGAGTGCCACGAATTCATTCTCCACAGTTGTACGCCTGTTGATTTCCTCTTCATATCTGTTGGAAAAGGAGAAGAAAAGGGATGAGCCAAGCAATACTATCAGACACATCGACACTCATCATCAGGTATAAATGACAGCCTTCACTTGCTCAGGGACTGCCATCAGGCACTGTAAGATCAGTGTCTGGAGACCAAACATTAGACCGGCCCAAGATGAGAAGCTTCTTCATGAACAACAACATTAACAATGCAAAGAGTCTGCAAGCGAGACGGAAGAATGTGACATCCCCGAAGGGGATGTGCCACATGTCTGGGAGATGTTGCCTGAAATGAACCAGAGAAGTGAAATGCCAACGGCTAAAGGAGACGTGAAAGTCCTTACTTGCACTTGAACTCCTCCACCAGCTGGCTTGTGGCACACTCTTCGCTGCCCAGTTTTTGCTTTTCACACAGCAAGCAGTCCAGGCGCTTCCGCAGGTCGCAGATGTAATTCTCAAAGTACAGTTCCAGGTTTTTCCCTTTCTTTGGTAAGACATATTGCTGCAGGAGGCCCCACTTGGTCTCCAGCACTTTGTTCTGCTGCTCCAGGAACCGGACCTGCAGGCCAAAGAATAGCAATTCTTCAAACAAAGAGACAAATGCAGTAACTCAACACCTGGTTCAACTGTCTGCTCTGACTGTGGAAATGCAGATGTAAGAATAGAATTTCTGGGAAGTGAGAGGTGATATGACATGATGATCACAAAATTATCTGCCTTTATTCAGAAATCTAAAAGTCACCTAAATTATTTAGAAATATATAAGTCACATGTCTAAATCTGCCTTTCTTGCCAATGAATAGAAATAAAGCTCCTCTGGATGGTGCCTCTGATGTACTTTAGGATGCAACTGAGTCTCCAAAGGGTGGAACCTGTTTGTCTCTGTTTTTTCTACAAAGATATCCTAAGGTGAGAGCTCAGACTTAGATAGCCAACATTTAGGTGCCTGGATTAAGATTAACCTCCTTTGCCTTCAGGAATGTTTTTGGAACAGTCGCTATATTTAAAAACAAAGCGGGGAAAAGGGTCCAATGCAGGACAGAAAGACGAGCCCGTCAGGGCTGTAACATCTGGCTGAGCTAGAACAAGGCTGAAATAAGAAATCCAGCCTTGAACTGAGGCTGTCCAGAGAAGAGACACCAGCAAGAAAGTCCACTGCTACCTTGGCCACGACACAAACACCATCAAACACTAGGTCTGGTCTGTGGCTGGAATGAGCCCTTCCCCAATACTGAAGATCTCACTCTGAACCAACACAGCTCTGTGGGAATCTGGACCCTTGCACGGACCCAGCTCAGTGATTCATAGCACGAGCTAGACCGGGGTTTTGGAGGAGGTTGGTTGTGTTTTATTTTTCTCAAACAAGTGCAAGTACGGAGCAGGTTTGCACTCACCTTGTCGATGAAGCAGGCAAATTGGGTGTTGAGGGTCTTGATCTGTTCCTTCTCCTGACAGCGTATTTCGTGTTCCAGCGGGTCAACCCCAACACAGAGGGGCTTCAGGAGCCGCTCATCGATGCAGATGCCTTGGATGCCATCAGCCTTGCGATCGGGGTAACCTCTCACAATACTATATCCCCTGGGACCACAAAGGCCAACCCTTCCTCCAACATTATTGTAGCCTACGCCTCCGAAGCCGAAGTCTCCAAAACATCCAGTACCACAGACCCCGTTCACGTAGGAAATTCTCCTGTTTCCACCCAGGTTGCAGACGCTCCTGCTGCTATAGGCACCAGCTCCACATCGGACAGGCTGGCAGGCGGAGGCGGCGTAGCTTCGACCACAAATCTCCGAAGCTGAACTGAAGCCTCTTCGTCCCAGGACAGATCTCACCGTAGGCGCCTGTCTGCTCATCGTCGCTTGTTTGAAGGTGGAATATGAAAGTTTAGGGGAAGCTCTTCTGCAGGAGAGGAACAGAGATCCCGCTGGAGTGACAGAGTGATGCTGCCCCTTATATACATTTGGGAAGCTGGCCTTGATAGGATCAGGACCTTAATTTAAAGTGCTTAAGGGTTTGGTTTGCCTGGCAGCAATAAATGCTCCTCAAAATGCAAAACAGCCCAGCAAATACTAACTACTGAGGAAATAAAAAGGAATCTAAAAGTGCTCTGTTTGCAAGTTGGCTTAGAATATATTACGGTTTGAAGTGTTCCCCTAACTTACACTAATTATAGTTTAGCAAACATTTTTGAAGAAACTCTTTGTGATTTGTTTGCAGTGTGTCGTTTGGGGTTTTGTGTCTCATGGGGTTTTGTGTATGATGGCATGTTTTGCAGACTTGCACTTTGTGGAGGTAATTTCACAATCTCTCCTTTTTTCTCTCACCAGGCTTGTTTTGGGTGCGGAAAAGTAACCAAGAAAAAAAAGAAAAATAAAAGAACATCAACCATGGAAAAACACGTTGGAAGTTGTGTTGTGATGGAAGGATCATTTCTGTGCCTGAAACATCAGCAAATTCACTGAGTTACGGGTCTGGTTTCATATGCAAGGACTCAGAATGGCCCCCACCCCAAACATTCCCATGCAGCGTTTCACACTGACCTTTTCTTACCACCATCAAAACAGAGCAGTTTGCATCCAGGATCCAAGGTATATTTCAGTTTTCTTACTAGGTTTATGTTCTGTGCCGTTAGTGACATTTTCACTTGAGTAAAGCCGCAAATTCTTAACCTGAAGTCCATTTGACACAGTTAAATCTTTGGCCCTCACTAATTTGGAGCTTCTACCATGGTGGAGGTCAGAGACCTTTTTAATTCACCTTCTGGTAGTCTCTACAGGGAACAAAAAAGGAACAGTAGCACATTTCATCCTGGTGAGATCCACCTCCTTCAAGAAGTGACAGCTGAAAGTTGGATGACTTTGCCAGACACGTCCTTGACACTCGATGGAGATGCACCTCCAAGAGCGAGACAACAGCCCCCGGGTCTGTGCTTAGGAGAATGGGGGTGATTCACTCTCTGCAAGCACCATCTTTCTCCATCAACAGAGGAAGTCTTAATGAGTAGATTAGACCAGACACCAGAGATGGTTTTGACTCACATTGGCAAGATGAATCTCTCTCTCTCTCGCAATCACCAGCCCAAGGAGGTGAGACAGTGAACCCATCTCGGGGGCCTTCTCCAGACTGACATTTGGAAAGTCAAAACAATAGGGCTCTTTCAGCTCTTTGAGAGTAAAGTGTTTGGGAGAAAAAGAGACATTATAGTGCAAACAACTCAATGCCCTCAGCCCTTCCTGACTGTAGGGGAGCCGTGCTTGGAGAAGTCTGCATGTTGTATGTACAACGCAACAGCAGCTGGAGACACCCAGTAGCTGTGTTCCCTTATCCTCGTTAACCCCCCTCCGAAAACATTTTCCAAGAGTTAGGATCAGGCCATGCAAATCACAAAAAACAATGCTAAACCTCTTTAAAACATTAAACCTTCTTAAAAAGAAGACATGCACACCGAAACCATGGGACGTGACTGCAGCTCCGAGGTTCACAAGGCTATTAATTGAACTTGTAATTGCAACTTATGTGAGTTTGAGGGGCTGGTGGTATAAATTACTTGTGTAAACTGCTACTTTTGCCCTATACAAATGGGATAATTCAACATATTTACAGCATGACTTTCAGCCAACACCTTTGTTTATAGTATTTTAGGCTCACAGTTCATACTGGGTTGCCAGCGCAATTGGCAATATCAGTTAAAACAAATATTAGGGACCTCAAGCTAAAGCTTGTACCTTCCCAGATCGTTTAAGCTCTGAACAAAGATTTATCAGAAGCAAAATGTGGATTTGAACCCAAAGAAGAGCACAAAAGCCAATTGTTACGAGCTCTATATAGGAAAACTGCATCCTGGACCAGCAGTCAGATTGAAGGCTGTGCCACCGCTCCCTTTCTGCACCCCATTATACGCATCAGCTGTGTGGGAGACACCTGGAACGTCGCACAGACTACAATTAAATGTCTCTGAAACAACTGTGCTGCGGCGGCCCCACTTCCAAAACACCTCACCAGATCCACTGGCTTCCTGATAGGTATGAGATGTGGGGCATAAGTTGTCCCATGTTGGGTAAAATTTCTGTGTTAGCCAAAACCCTGTTGCTGCTCCTGAATCCCAGTGAGAAGGCGGCGATGCAGAAGGTTCACTTAATGTCTTTCAGATCTTTCCAAGGAACAAGGTGTATTTCGCCTGTTGGTACGTAAGACCTCAAGAATCAACAATTTGTTATTGTGAGTATAGACATGGGAAATGTGAGCGTACTCTGAAGCAAAAACTGCATCATTTTGACTCAAAAAAACAGGAGGAGAAGGACTGAGGGAGCAAAAAAAGAAAATATTTTGATGAGGGGTTGGATGAGTCATTTTGACAACTTGCAATCTCTCCCTTTGTCAGCATTCTTCTCCCTGAATGTGCCACTGAAAATGGAATTCATTATAGGAACATGTGAAGTTCGCTAATTTGTTTGTTGCCTCTGGAAATGAATCTCAACTAGCTCTCGAAATATATTTTATACGATAGTCTCAAAGAGCCATGCTCCATCTCTGTAATTATCCGCGGCCATAGAAAACTCATTACATTCAGACAGGACAATGGCAATAACCTACCTGAGCTAACACCATTTGATAGATGTGAGATTGGGTTGTAACGTGTATTTTTATGCACACAATTTCTTGGACTGTGTAGACTCTTGTCCATGTCATTCATGAGATGTTAAAGAATTTATCAGAGTAGCGCAGCCTTGTTCCCTTTTATCCTAAAGCCAAGGTTGTCCAAGGGAATTCAATCTGGTAATGTATTTTTTCCTCTCATTAGCCTACAACTGCTCTGTGTTAGAAGTCAAGGCTAGGCTTTTCAAAGGATATTCCTCATAAAATTCATCAAACACTGGGCCTGGGTGCACCTTCCTCCCTTCTTCAGCCATCAGACTAGCCACGTATTCTAATTTCATCTTTGAGGCTCCCTCTATGGCTAATGGAAAGAGATAGGCATCTCCAGACGGTGATTCACGGCACCCTCAAATAGGCAGCTAGGACAGGCGGGAGGAATCCTCCTCTGGAGGAACTCACCTCTGTTCTTATTGATGATCAGAGGCAGTCTAGACAACCAGACAACTAGACCAGGCGCCCCACTTCTGGATGGTTGAAGTTGGGTGGAATTAGTCCCACCCTTTGGGCGCCGAATTTCTTGAGCACCTTTGAAGTCTTAATGAGAGTACACAACATCACACGCTCTCTAGATGTGCTCAGTTCCTGATGTACGCATACATCATATCTCCACACGGTGATTAGCACCTGTAAAGCCAAGGCTTGCAAGAAAGCAAAGGATTGTTTTGATCTTTTTCATGTTGAGGTCTTCCTCCCACAGAATTGTACAGTGGAAATGAACATGGGATGTATGGGAATCCAGGCCCCTGAATGGGATGGCATTGCACCGCCTGTTAAAGCAAAAAGATTAGAAAAGAAAAAAAAAAAACATTGCAATTGTTACCAGGTTACAGCAACTTCCCTATAAATCTACAGGAGCTCTTACCCCTTCCAGTCGAAGCTGTTTTCTTGGGTGGAAGAGATTTGCTGAGCCAGGCAGAAGGAAGGAATTGCCCAGGGAAGGTGGGTCGGGTCCTCCTGGGAAGCACATTCAGCCAGCAGGAGATAAGCTCTTCCTTTTGTTATGCTAAAGCCCGAGTGCCCGAGCCCAGGTTTGATTTGGTTTGCGCACCTTTGTCGGGTACTGCTGAATTTCTGACAAAACACCCAGCTCATGGTTCATGGAGCGCTGATGTTCAGAGAGGCTGGTCACGGGTTTGAAGTAAAGCACTTTCTAAATGAACTCATCAAATCTTGAAATGGTGACAGGAGTCTGGAGGTGAGAAAGCAAATTTCCCTGACATTTCTTGCATAAAAAGTGGCAGGATCATCTGTTTTCAATGGGAACCCCACAACCTCCGTGAGATACTTAAACCCCTCTCAGTGAATATTTATGGATGCTTGGTTGTTCTTTTCTTGTCAAATTTTTCTTGTGGTTTTCTTCATTAAAGATGGTCCCTGTTTTCTTTTTCATAGTTGATTGGGAAATAGCTCCCTATCCCATGAGAATTATGGGGGGAGAGAAAGCTCTTCTAGTTCTGAATCACGGTAATTGCTTCAGATAGGAAATACCTTCCCTCTGAATTTCCCTTTTGTAAGACATATCTGTCCAACTTGCCTCTATATAGTTCATTTCTTTGTTCTGCTCGTTGGCTTTCATCAGTTTAATCGCAAAACACTCCAGTCCTTTGTGGCTTATTCATGTTACTAATCTGTTGGCTTCTTTTTTTAATCTGCTCAAATGTACAATAAAAGATCTTCCCTTGATCTGCTTTGAAGTCCTAAACTGGTAGTTGTAGAATTTCTAAAATGATGCTGAAAAAAGCAACCAAGCACATTTATGAGGTGGTTTTTTTTTTTTTTTTTTTTGCCTACAATGACCCTATTGCAGCAGATTTGGAAGAGATATAAAATATGTTCTATCATCACATGCCTGTGGTAGACATGCTATAAAAATGCAAAGAGACTGACATGACTTCTCCATGAATCTTAAAACACCCACTGAATAGCATTGAGTAGGAGCCAAATTTGGTGCAAATCAGCATAAATAATCTGACTTTACAAGGCTTCCATAATTTACACCAACCAAAGACTAGATCTGCATGATACTCTCAGGGCAGCCCTGCCACCTCTGCTTAATTGTTAGAACTCCTCATCAGCAGAGACTTCTTGCCCAATTTAGAAACAGGGTATTTCTGTATTCCTGTCAAACACTAAAAACCAAGCGGCAACACGCTTGTTCTCCATGCAATTTATTGGGAAAAGAGCAAAAAGTTTAAATCACCAAGATAGAAGTGAGGGTGCTGAAATTTATGCGTATGTCAGGACACTAAGAAAC